CCCGGGGCTTTTGAGGCAGGCATCCCCCTCCGCGGGCAGGGGACAGTGGCAGGCAGGAGAGACAGCCTGCTCCCCCAGACTGGGGGGTGTCTGTGAGAGGCTCCCTGCACCCCCCATCCAGGCATCTGGAACTTACCGGAGCATGAACAACAGATTTGAGGGTGTTTTTTTCCCTACAGACATCTTTTTGGGACGCTTTCTTTATTCTCAGTTAGCCTGGACACACCTTCCTTCCAAAGCCTCACCTCACTGTTCCAATCTGGTCCCTTAAAGCAAAGACTGGGCAAATCCCCCTGGATCCCAGCTCTTCCCAAAACCTCCTGGGTTGCTCTGAGCACTTCTGCACTGCCCTGACCTTGCCTGGACTCACCTCCTGCTTGTGCAAACCAGACTGCTGCCCAGAGACATCAGATTTAAGCCAATATAAGAGACAATACGTAAGAAAGGTGGTTTCCAGAACTGTAGCTATTTTGTCCCAGAAATAATTTGCATGTTCTGCTTGTCCACTGGGGCAGGTGATGAGTATTTGGACGGCTGGGTCTCAAGAGAGGCACTTATTGTCATTTGATGGGGACTTTGTTTCCCTGGCGGGCCTGCAGCTCCCTTGAACTGGCAGCAGGGTGAGCCCCAAGCTGTGGCTGCATCTCGTTGTGTGATCCACTGTGCTTTTGGGTCAGGAAAGAGCTTGTGCTGAAAAGAAAAAAAAAAAAAAAAAAAAAGACATCATTACTTTGATTGAATTTTCCCATTTTACTGGGAACGGCAAAGCTGCAGCTGAGTTGCAAAGACCTGTGCCACTCATTGCAGGTATTCAAGCTGCCTTGACCTACAGCAGTACAAAAAGCATCTGGTGTGCTGTCCCCCAGGGGGGAAGGGATGCTCTGCATGGCACAGCAAGGGGAAGATCTCCACCACCTCCATCACATCGTGCCCGGGGGGAGATGGTGCTGGATAATCGATGTGCCCTGCAAAGGAGGGTGCAGCAAGCGCAGATCCAGATGGCTTGAGTACCCAGAGCAAAGAGGACGCCCGGGGAGGGCACTGCTATCTGCTGTGACCTTAACATCTCCTGTCAAGGTGGTACACAGATGTCCAGACTTTCGTCTGGGCGTGATGCTCCACCCTGCCGGGTGAAAAACTGCCTCCCTGGGAGGTGTCTACTGGCATTTTCCCTCTTGTTTTAAATCCTCCAGGCAATGAGATGCTCTCGCTGCCTTTGGCCTCTGAGATCTCATGGGCAAGATGTTTTTTCCCAAGGGTTGAGTGCGTTTTCTGCAGATCCATCCTGAAGGAGCCACCTTCATCGCTCCAGGGCTGGAACCACCCATGCAGGGATGTCCCTGAGGCCGTGTCCTGTCCAGGATCATGGAAAGTCCCTGTCCCCGACCAAGGAGCAACCTGCAGGTCCCCAAACCCTGTGACCCAAGTCCCAAAATAGCACCTTAATGGAGGGACTGACGCAGCCCAGGGGTGAGTTCAGCTCAGGAATAACCTTTCCTCCACGTCATTTACGTACCCAGAGAGAAATCAGGGTCTTAACTGGGCTGGAAATTAGGAAGATATATCCAAAAGAAGAACAGCAAAGAGCTGCTCTCCCTCAGAGGTGACTTTTAGCCCATATCTAAGCCTGCAGCACTGGGCAGGCAAGTGGAAAACAACCCTGCTCCTCCCCTGCCTGCACCCCTGGGCAGGGGGACACTGCCTCCATCCCCGGGGGGCTGCCCCAGCCCTACGGCAGCTCGAGGGTCAGTGGCTTTTAATGACCTTTCTGCACAAGTGGGATAAAGCAGCTTGGCAGCAGCAGAAGGAAAACAGACTCTCCTTTGCCCTTTCCCTCCCTATTCTGGACTTTTTTTTAGGAGAAAATAGGATTTAAAGCAGGTGACAAAGCAGGGAGTGGTCTGACCCCGACCTCGCTGGCTTTGCCTCCCTGGTGGATAAAGCAGGGATGCTTGGAGGGACACAGACTGTATATTTTAGGTCCCCCATCAGCAGGGATGCTCACCCTGCCGGGAGCACCCTGAGAGGAGGATCCCAACATCTGCAAAGCCTGAGAACAGGCGCTGAAAGAGCAGAGGAAGAGCAGAGCAACCTTTGCTCCCATGTCAGCACAGCACCGAGCACAGCAGCACAGCCCAGTACCAACAACAAACGGGTGCTGCCCGGTAAGGGAACACATTTTCCTTTCCCAGCTGCCATGCCAACATGCTTTTGCATTGCTGGGGTTTGTACCTAAGAGTTTTGTGAGCTTCAGCTGGGAGTTTGGGCTCTTGAGGCTCAGGCTCACCATGTCCTGGATGCTGGCGGGATTGGAGAGGTTATTCGGTACCACCAATGTACTGGCTGAGCATGGAGGGACTCACACATTGCTTATGTGCCTCAGTTTACCCAGATCCTCCAGCCCAGCCATCCCTAAAGGATCACACTGGCAGAGGGAAGCATTCAGCCTAGGTGGAAATGGGGACCACGCCGTAGCTCTCCCTCAGCTTTCCCAGGGCAGAGCATCCCTTGGGGGCACCCAGGAGCCAGAGGAAGGGAGACCCACCCCAGGGTGTTCCAGCAGAACGCTCCCCAATCAGTCTGGGCTTCTCCCCTCTCCCTCCCTAACCCCCGATGTCTCCTCCCCTGCTCCCACACGTCTCCCAGGGCAGAGGGATGGCAGCCGTCCCCCCTCGCCCGTGACAGCCAGTGTCACATCCGATCAGGTGCCAGGCAGGATAAACATCACCGATGCTCGGCCTGAGTCTGCTCTGGAGAGGGGAGACAGTCAAGGAGAAAACGGAGCGTGAGGAGCTAAAAATAGCAGCTGGCGAAGGCTCCCCTCCCCACCGGCCGCGCGGGAGCTGCCAGTCGCCCGTCACCACGCGTGAGCGAGCAGGGAGGATAAATGTCCCTCCCGCCGGCTGGCAGGACCGGGTGGCTCCTGCCCCCCTCCCCCAAGCTCTTGGGGGTACAGGGGTACTGGAGACAAGCATCGGGATGAGACCAGCCAAGTCCTGGCTGCTTTGGTGGCTCTCGTCCCTCTACAGCCCTGGCATGGCGAGGCACGTCCGAATTTCCTTTGCGGGTCGGTGCAGATGCTGGGGAAGCATCTCCCTGCCCAGGTCAGCAAACTCTGCTGGGCTCGGGTCAGCCACTGGCTTCCCCCCATGGCCCACGAGCCCCGGGCAATGCTGAGCCTCCCTGGGGAAGGGGCAGGGTGGGCACCTTGCTCCGGGTGCTGAGCATCCCCCCTCACCATCAGCAGGGAGAGGAGGTTGTTCAAGACCAGAAATCTGGGAATATGCCCCCAGCCTTGCTCCTGCTGGGCCTGGGGAGCACGGACTCTGTCATCCTCCCAAAAGCACGCCCCGCTTCCCCAGCCCTGGGAACACCCACCCTGAGAGCCAGGAAGGGACATTTTGGAGCCTTTCACCAAAACTATGCTGTTTCCCAATTGCACACGCATGCGGGAGCGCCGATGGCAGCCTGGGGAGGTGGGTTACCGTTCCTGCATCAAAATTTGAGTTGCTTTCAGCTCACACTCAGGGTGACTCTGTTCATCACCACCTCTCCACTCCCTCGCTGCTCAGATCCAGCTCAGGGGTGCAGGCGGGGAACCCCCATCACACACACCCAGTGTTGGCCGTGTCCCCCCCTTGAGGTGATGGAGGGGCCAGGCCAGGAGCAGCCTGGGCTGTCTGGACGGTGGCATCTGCTCTGCACCCAGGCTCTGCCCAGCATCCTTCTGCAGCGAGGACAGCTCTTGTGTTGGGCAAAACGTGGGGTTGTGACATGATCAGGTGGATTTACCAGTCAGATTCAGGGTCTCCTAGCTCCCTCCCCCCCAACTCCTACACCCACTGGGCACCACATGCCACAGGGGTGCAGACACATATTTTTTCATCACTTTTTTTCCAAAGATTTTGAGTCTGGCAATCATTTTTGGCTGAAATAAATGCGCAGGTTGGTGTGTGGGCTGGGGCCAAGCTGTCCTGGTAGGCAAGCAGAGCCCTTCTTACCCCCTCACTGGGGCCATGGAGCTCCTTCCCCACGGCTGCATCCAGGGACCCTAATTCAGAAGAAATTTGGAGGGTTGTACTTTTTTTTCCAAGTGGGCTACCTGGGCCCCTGGCCTGAGCAGAATTGCTGGCCATGCTGGGCTAAGAGCCTGGGCTGGTAGGTCCTCCCAGTGCATCCCAGGGCAATGTCAAACCTTATGGGGGGAGGCGGGAACCCCGGCTGGGATGCCACAGCCCCACCCCAAATGTCTTATTGAGGGGGGACACAGGGGACACAGCCCCTGGGCACATTGGCATCTCTGTGGCAAACAGCCACCACATGCAGGGCCAGCCCGAGGCAGGGTGGGGGGGCTGCAACGTGGCTCCAGAGGGGGGAGGGGGCCGGTCTCCAGCAGGTGGGATGGGGATGGGATGAGGATGGGGATGGAATGGGGATGGGATGGGAATGGGGATGGGATGGGAATGGGGATGGGATAGATATGGGGATGGGATGGGGATAGGGATGGGGATGGGATGGGGAGGGGATGAGGATGGGGATTGGGATGGGATGTGGATGGGATGGGGATGGGATGGGGAGGGGATAGATATGGGGATGGGATGGGGATGAGGATGGGGTTGGGGATGGGATGGGGAGGGGATGAGGATGGGGATTGGGATGGGATGGGGAGGGGATGAGGATGGGGATTGGGATGGGATGGGGAGGGGATGGGGAGGGGATAGGGATGAGGATGGGGAGGGGATGGGAATGGGGATGGAGATGGGGATGGGGAGGGGATGGGAATGGGGGTGGGGATGGGGAGGGGATGGGATGGGATAGGAATGGGATGGGGATGGAATGGGGAGGGGCGGCCCCAGCAGCCCCCGGCAGCGCCCGGCGGCGGGGGGGGAGGCGGCGGGCGGGGCGGCGCGGCGGCGGTGGAAGGAAGGGGGGGGGGGGGGGGGGGCCGGGCGGGTGGGTCCCCCCCCGCACGGAGCGTGGGCCGGGCGCGGGGAGCGGCGGGGAGCGGCGGCGTTGGGCGGGCGGCTGCGGGCGGCTCGGCCTCGGGTGCCCCAGGGCTGCCTGCGAGCCGGAGGCTTCCCCGGGGCTCCTGCAGAGCGCCGAGCATCCTTCCTTCCTCCCGCCCGCCCGGCTGGCACCGGCACCGGCACCGGCACCGGCACCGGCACCGGCACCGGCACCGGCACCGGCACCGCCAGCATCGGTACCAACGTCAGCACTGGGCACAGGCATCGCCACCGGCACCGGCAGCAGCACCAGCCCCGGCACCGGCACCGGCAGCAGCATCGGTAGCGACGTTGGCACCGGCTCCGGCAGAGCCCAGGTGAGCAGCTGATGTGTGGTGGGTGCTGGTGACGTGGTCGCACCGAGGCCCTGGGCCGCGGCGCTGGGTGTCCTGTGCTGGCGGGTGCTGGGGAGCAGGTCAGGGTGCCCGCCCTGGGAAGTGGGTGCCCACCCTGGGCACCCCCACGGCAGCACATCGGGGCACAGGGAAGGGCGGAGAGGCAGGAGGCTCAGGAGATGGCGGTGTCCTTGGGGGGCAGACGTGTTTTGGGGGGGTGTGAAACTTTGCGGCAGGCTGTGGTGCTGAGCAGGGTGACGGGGTGTCCCTCGAGGGCTTGGGGGGGGGGGCCGTGCCAATCCCACAGGGGGCCGTGCCCATCCCACGGGGGGCCAGGTGCCTCCAGGGAGGATTGGGGTGAGCGGTGGTCAGGTGCTGAGCAAGGCTTGTCCATCTTAGGGTGGCCACTTCAGCTCAACCCCCCATGGTGTCACCCCTGTCCCATCCTGGCACCCACCCCTGCCCCCCTCACCCCATGTCCCCTCCTTCCTGGCAGGTCCTGGGGTCCCCACTGTTCCCTCCACCTTCCACCCTGCCCTGTCCTCATCTCAGCTACCCTGACCCCTCCCAAGCCCCCAGCTCCAGCCCTCAGTTTCCCAGATTAGAGCTTCCCAGATGATTTCAGGCCTGGGGAGCTGCAGGGGTCCAGACAGTGAGAGCCCAGGGAGAGCTGCTGTGGGACTGAGCACCGCTCTGTGCAGGGGACACGCTTGTCTTATGCCTCCTCCCAAGTGGCATCCTCTCAGAAGAAAAGGGCTTCCCAAGGGACAACCCTTCCTTGCTGCCTTCAGGGCTTTATTTTGGCAGGTTGCCCCCATAGATGCTTGGATCGGGTCCCTGTGGTCCCCAGAGCTGGCTCCTGTCCCCTGGCTGGGTGGCAGTGCCACCGAGGAGGTGGCAGAGGAAGGATGTCCTGTCCTCACCCCAAATACTCCCAACCTGTGACCTTGGGGCTGTCCACCAAGGGACACCTCAACCCTTGCTGTCACAGAGGGCTGCCTGGACTCCTCCCGGGATGTCCCTCCTGTCACAACTGGGCAGAAGAGGTGGGAGGTATAATGGGGTGGGAACAGCCCTACCACTGTCTCCACCCTTTAACTGCTCAGTACCATCTCCCCCCAAAAAGCAGGAGGTTTTGGAGTGGGAAAGGTGGTGGCTGAGCCAGGTTCTCCTCACTTTTTCAAACTGGGGGAATCACAGTGTTTCTTCCCAGAGTGGGATGCTGGGAGGCAGAGCGGGAGGCGGAGGAGGTGGCTGGGAGCTGGGGGATGCTCAGTGGGGTGCTTGGGGGAAGCCTTGGGGCTCAGCTCTCGGTTCAGCCCGTGAAGTTCTGGCACTCGTTCCTGACCTGGCCCCGCGCTCCCTCGCAAGACGAGGTGCTCCAGTCACCTGCAGGGACATGGTGCCACAAAGGATGGGGACAGGGGCCACAGCCCTGCCCTGACCTTGGCTCCTCAGGCTAGCGGTTCTGGTGCCTGGCTCAGCTGAGGGGACATGGATCCAGCTCTGCCCCATCAGGGCTGGGAACTTCAACCCGTGCTTCTGATCCTAGGGTGACTGCACAGGTTTCTTCCCTCCTTGGCTTTCAGTCCCTTCCCCGCCAGCTCCCCAGGTGCCAGGCGGGTGGCTTTGGGTGGCAGGGAAGGTGCTGTGACAGCCACAGTGTCAGGGAATCCCAGTGATGCTCCCAGCATCCATGCAGGGATGGGGGAAAACATCTGGATCACCTCCACGCAAGGCCTCGCCACGGGGGAGGCCCGTCAGTCCCTCCCGAGAGAATGCTGCCTGGGGAGCAGGATACCCTGGAAGATTTCCACCTCCCTTCTTGGATAAGTTGCAGTGGGAAGGAGCAAATCTTCCGGCTGCCAGTGACCTGGGGGAAGCACATGCCAGGGGCTCCCCAGGGAGCCGGAGGTACCAGCTGCATCACTTGGCCTGGGAAGCTGTCAGCTGGCTCCGCTCCCCAAAATTAATTATCCGGGTGCCTGAAGATGTCCTGCTGCTTTGGCAGAGCCAAGGAGCCTCTTCCAAATTCCGTGCCTCTTCCCCGGGGCACCCGCTGCCCTCTCCGCCACACCCAGCTGGATACAGCAGCACCCACGGGCTGAGCTGGGCTCTCCTTGGGGTGACCAATCCAGCCTTTGTGGTGGAACCAGTATCGCCCAGCATCAGTCTGTGGATTCACTGGGCAGGTGGGGGCTCAGGGAAAGGGGATCTGGAGGAAGGGAACCCTGGAGGTGGCGAACTGGGAGGTCCCTGCATGTGGTGCAAGCACTAACATGGTGCCATGGGATGGGTGACGTGGAGCATCACTCCCCCCGACCTGACTGCAGCGGGACAGGGCTGTGGGGAGGGGGCAAATGCCCCCAACATTGGGAGCTGGACCACTGTCCTCTCCTGGTGCCAACCAAGGGCAGGTGGAGATAAGGAGCCTTGCACAGGCTGAAGAGACTCCCACGGTGCAGAGCCGAGCCTGGGGCATTTCAGAAGTACCTGCTGCCTCGTGTCACCCAGCCCACGGTGCTCCCGGCATGGCACAGCCCGGCACGTGCTTGGTGGCACCCAGGTGGCACCCTGTGCCCCAGCAGATCTCCCAGCCCCTGCCCCAAGCAGCGCACAGCCCGTGGCGCAGCATCCTTGCAGCTCCTTGGGTTTCCCCTGGCACAGAGCCCTGCGCCGTGGTGCTCACCCACATGCTCCTCACCCACAGCCGGGAGAATCGAGAACGTCCCTGTCCCTGTCCCCATCGTCTTGGATCGGGTTCATCGGCTCTCACCCAGGATGCTCAGGCTGGAGCAACTGATGAAGAGCCTTTTGGGGAGGAAGGAGCCTGAAAATCCTAAAGAATGAAACTGATTTCGATGTGGGTGACACGTTTATTATGCAAAATTATAGTTTGTGCCATCGTCAGAGCAGCTAACTAAAGGTTACGGTGGGAGCTGTATTACCCAGGGCTCAATCATCATAATTACCTCCCATTAGATCACCTACTTTGCAACTGAGACGCGTAGTAGGGGAAGCTCCTGTTTACCTCCCTTGGCTACAGGAGCAAGTGCTGATCTACCCTGACGCCAGGTCCTTCTCTGTGGGGGTTGCGGGCGGGTTTCCATCATCCCTGTGTGAAAGGAGCTGTAGTATTTTCCCCCTTGGACTCAAAAAGGACCTGAATGCAGATGATGGGACTGAGAACAGACCCACAGGGTTAGGAGTGCAGGGAACACAGGCTCAGCCCTCCCACGCAGCACCCAGCACCCTCACAGGGTCCCTGATGGGCACCTGAACCCCCCAGGGGAAAATTCCTGTTCTCCTCCCACCATACCAGCAATTAAAGGTAATTAACTGATGGGGATGTAGGCAGGGATGCTCACAAGCCCTGGAAGAGGTCACGGCCCACAGGCTGGCAAACACCCAGCTGGCCTGGGAGAGGCTAGAGCAGCCTTCATCCCTGCCTGGGATGTGGTGGGATCCCTCCCTGCATCCCTCCCTGGGATCCCTCCCTTCATCCCTCCCTGGGATCCCTCCATCCCTCCCTGGGATCCCTCCCTGCATCCCTCCCTGGGATCCCTCCATCCCTCCCTGGGATCCCTCCATCCCTCCCTGGGATCCCTCCCTGCATCCCTCCCTGGGATCCCTCCATCCCTCCCTGGGATCCCTCCATCCCTCCCTGGGATCCCTCCATTCCTCCCTGGGATGCAGGACAGCATCTCCATCTGAGATGTCTGAACAGGGGGGCACAAGCCGGTGGTCCAGGCTGCTCGTGTGTGGGCAAGGGGACGGGTACAAGCCAGGGAAGCTGCTGTTTGATGGGTGATCCCAATCTGCACCCAAACCGATGTGTGGGTGGGGGTCTCGCTCACTGCTGTGCTCATGCTGGATGCGTCCTCCTGTGTGGTGGTGCTGAGCTGGGTCACGTAGCTGTCACCCCCCACGCTGTCACCAGGAAGCCAGGGGCTGCCAGCACTGCCGGCCCTAAGGATTTGCCATGTTCCCACAGTAAACAGCCACAACCGGAATATCACTGGTGATTTTTTGGGTGCTTTTCATTTTCCTAATGCCAATGATCAGGCGGGCTGGCAGACCCGGCGGTGGCTGTGGCACAGAGATGGGATCATTTTACTGTCCCAAAGCTGCTCCTGCTCCGGTGCCTTTGTGTGTCAGACCCCAGGGAGGGAGCTGCTGGCTCCTTCCTCGGTCCTTCCTCGGGGATGCCATATTGCAAAGCAGCTCCGTCCCTGCCAGCAGCAGCTTTCCCCGAGCCCTGCCTGCATCTTTGCCCAGGGACCTCGCACCTCCCAGCTGCCGGGGAACAGGAGCCCTGTGATGGTAAAAGCCAGAGGTGCTTGTTATTAGCACAGAGTGAAGGAAAAACTTTCCTCTCTAAATTTCCTGGAGGAGAATGGGGAACCCAGGGGAGGTGGGGCAGGATGGGAAGCAGTGATGTGCATTGGGCCAGGAGCCCCAGGCTGCAGGAGGATGGAGAAGAGGACCCGGGATATGGTTATTCCTTCTCCAGGTGAGTGGGCCCCGATGCACGCCCCATGGCCAACACAGCTGAGGTTTATCCATCCTCTCCCTGCACCAGGGTTTGGGGAGTTTTTGGGTGCAGGGTAGGTCCCCAGCAAAGCCTAGCAATGATGCTGTGCTGTCAGCACACGTCCTTGCACTGCTGCAGATTGAGTTTTTAGCGCTTTGCTCTTTAATAAGAGCAACTGAGGCTTGTCCAGGAATTAAATTAGGGTGGTCCAGAGGGCATCGCACATTCAGGTTTTCCTGGTGCTCTTGGCATCTGCCTGGGATGCTGCATGCACTATTCCCACGGAAAAAGATGCCTCACTTTTATCAGTGTATGGACTTGTAGGAGATGCTGTGCTCAGTGGGGCTGTGTTGGGATTAAACTGCCTACTCTGGAGCGCTTTTTTCTGGCCCAATCCAAGTCTGCAGGACCAAAAGGGGATTTTCTCTGTGGTCACTACCCTTTGGGG